TTATGTATGTTGATGTATTTTGATGTATGGTATGCATGTCGTAGTGTTGTATGTAGGTATGTATGTATGTATTATGCTATGTATGTTGATGTATTTGATGTATGTATGTCCGTATGTGTTGTATTTTGATTGTATGTTATGTATTTGTATGTCGTTGTATTTTTGAGGTATGTATGTATGTATGTCTGTATGTATGTTATGTAGGTATGTTTTATAGGTATGTATGTCTTGTATGTATGTAGGTATGTATGTATGTATGTATGTATGTAGTATGTATGTATGTATGTATGTATGTCTGTATGTTGTTGTATGTAGGTATGTTTATGTTTCGTATGTAGTATGTATGTATTTATGTATGTATGTATGTATGTAGTCTGTATGTATTGTATTGTATGTATGCTATGTATTCGTATGTATGTATGTATGGATGTATTTATGTATGTATGTATGTATGTATGTATGTATGTACTCTTTGGTTTGATTGTTTTTTCTTTGTATGTTTTTTTTTCTTTTTGTATGTATGTATGTATGTATGTAGTTGTCGTGTGTGTATGTATGTATGTATGTATGTATGTATATATGTATGTATGTTGATGTATATATGTTGATGTTTGTATGTTGATGTATTATGTATGTATGTATGTATGTATGTGTGTATGTATGTATGTATGTATGTATGTATGTATTATGTATGTATGAGTGCTTAGAAGGGCCGAATGTCAGACCGGCGTGCGTGCCCAATTTGTAACCCTTTGAAAATAAAATGTGTTCATTCGTTTGTTCTGGTCTGTTCTATGTCTCTGGATGGTCTGTTCTGTTGTCTGTTTTAGTACCATGTGTGACCATAAATTTCTCTGTCTCCAGATCCCAGAGAACAGAAGAACTCACTGACATCTTTCATTGATGGCTCAGGCGTCTACGGGTCTGACCTCAAAACGTACAATCGGATTCGATCAGAAAATGGAAAAGGTAACAATAAAACTGCAACTTGCCTGGGATTACTGTCCGTCAGGTTCATATGTCAGGCCACTGGTATTGTCGTTTTATGCCAGTGATAGACTGTTGTAGTGACCAGAACATTTTCAATGCTTTTGTTTTTACGACCTTCTCTCTCGCAGAACTCTTCCTGTTTTACAATTTTGCTCTGCCAGGCTACAGTTTTTAAAAGTACAATCTTAAAACATGTCTTGCTTTTTTCAGCTTTGATGATATCTAGGTCCGAGTTTTCGCTCTGTACCCGTTCGTGTAAGTTTGTGGTCGACAAACATGAGCACCCAGCGTCTCACACTCCTGTAGAGACTGGTGGTGACAGGGATATCGTGAGGGATCTGCAGCTCTGAAGCAGGCCCTTCCTCTGGGTGTTTCGGACAGTGTGGCAATCACGCCGTCCTTTGAGTTTTGCATAGTTCGCTTACCAAGCGGAAATTTCAGTAATGGAACTACCAATATCGTAATCATGGCGGCCACCTTGGTCTGGTCTTCACTGATCTGCTTAAAGATAATCTTAAATGGAAACCCTGATGTTGTTAAGAGGATTGGTATTTAAGGATCGGCACTCGGGCTGGACGTGGTGCGGCTTGGTTGATCAATGTCCATAGCATAGAGTTCTGCCACGACTGGCCGCGCCTCCAAATCAGTCAGGCACGACGACTCATCAAAGCTGTCGGGAAGCGAGTCGGCGTGTTGGCGACAGCGTGGCGTCTAGCTGCTTTCTTGGTTTGTGGCATCTTCGCTGGCTGTCATGAATAGTGTAGGAGCTGAACAATGGAGCGTAGCCAGTGACTTGACTCGTGGAGAATAAAGATTGACAGTTCCGATTTGGAACAAAAAATCTCGATTACGTTTAGCCTGCTGTTGTTTGACGAAGTACGTAGACGGAATTACTAGTAAATTTAAAGTTACCCTGGTAAATCACGTGACTACAGTGAACTTCTAGCGACTAGACAAACGCGATGCATAAAGAAAGGGAAAACATTAGGGATTTATTCCAAGTTGTTTTTTTTTTGTTTTTTTTTTTTGTGTATGTTTGCTTCATTTTATGTTAATGTAACATTGTAGTAACGCACCTGACGAAATACAGTGAAAGATGCCTAGCAATAAATTGGGCAATGTATTGTTTGTGTCCGTATTAAAGGAATTTATTACGGGAGAATATTGTTTTGAGTAACTAGGGAAGTGTCGAACTTGGATATTTGACTGAACGGTACAGATATCACAGCCTAGCTGTAAACCACAGCAGAAAATATCACCTGCCCTTTTAAGGACGCACAAAGAAAATGAAGGTGAAAGAGATCTTCACTTTAGACATTGTGAAGGACACATATTATGTGTAACATAATCGTGCTAAATGTATGCGATTTCACGCGCATGTTTATAAGTGTGTGTGTGTGTTCACTTGTGTATGTTCACACATGTATGTGTGCTGTCATATGTGCTTCCAAATGGTGACTGTTAGAACAACTATAGACTTGCTCAGCTTTTCTTTCTTTTCTTTTTTTTTCATAACAGGAAAAAATCGCAGATTTCTTTCTAAATAGTTAGCTTTTCCTCTTGAGCCGTCCGCTCTGTGGCTAAGTCGATGCGAAAGCTTCGTAATGCCGGGTGCCGGGTTCGGTCCCAGCTACAGGCCATGCGCCTTACGTTGGTTTAGACGGTGGTATCAAGGTGCTGACCGTCCAGAAAGCAATGGCAAACTACTGAACGTAAATTTTCCTAGAGAAACCACACAACAGCCAGGGGCTGCTGTGGTTGGTTCTGCAACGTCCTGTAAAGAATACGCAACTAACCTTAAAAAAACTCTTGAGCCTAAGGTGGCGCAGAGGTCATAGCTCTCCATGTCTAGCGGTTCTTTGCTCCCTGATTTAAGTCTTGGATATTCATTAGGCCCATAGTTGAGGGCTTGGTGGGGGAAATCTTGTCCTCTCGGTTCTAAGAGCATGGCCGAAGTAATTCAGCGGCGTTTTATTATAATATTGGATACATTACCTTGTTTGGTCTCTTGTCTCATTTACCTATTTGATCTTAAATCTGTCGAGTAGAGATTTAGTATTCTTCTAAGACATCTTTTTTAGAACTGTCTAATTTTTGTCAAAAGCTACTGTTGCTTTTCAACTCTGGCATCCATAATTTAGCACTAGAATCACACAAGAGTTGAAGATCTGGAGTTGTATGTGTTTGCTGAGTGTCTTTGGCTTCCAAATGTTTGACAGTTTGTGAAAAGCATTAGATGCTATTGCGATTCTAAATGATATTTCTGGTAGATTTTTTCCTACTCCCAGGGTATGTAAAGATCTTGACTTTTTAAAGAATGTGATTGTTCAAATGATGCCTTCTGAAGATCACTAATTGTTATGTTTGCGCTGTTAATTTGGAAACCAATTTGTTTTGAAATATTTGTGAGATAGTCTGTATTCTCTTATATATCTGGGAGCGTTGAACTCAAAAGCACTAAGTCGACAGTCAAGTCAAGGTCTTCTAACATGGTGTCAACCCATTTGATACCAATGTGCGTTTTGTATGTGCATTTCCGCATGACCAAATTGATTGCTATTTCAAAGAGCATCGGCGATAAGACACAGCCTGTTTGGCTCCTGTTTATCTGATGATGGTTGTGCGTATTTTCTAAATAACTAATAAATCAAACCACAGGTATGTTTTTAAATACGCGCCTGGTGCAAGGACAAGAGCGACTGCCCTTACATCCAGACCCGAGTCCCGCCAGCTGTGTCTCCTCCAACACTTCTGTTTCCTACTGTCAGTTAGCAGGTATGTGATTGTTTCAGTGTTAGTTGACAAGTATGTGGTTGTTTCAGTGTTAGTCGATATGTATGTGCTTGTGTCAGTGTAAGTTGACATGTATGTGATTGTTTCAGTGTTAGTTGACAGGTATGTGCTTGTGTCAGTGTTAGTTGACAGGTATGTGCTTGTGTCAGTGTTAGTTGACAGGAATGTGCTTGCGTCCGTGTTAGTTGACAGGTATGTGCTTGCGTCAGTGTTAGTTGATATGTAGGTGCTTGCGTCAGTGTTAGTTGACATGTAGGTGCTTGCGTCAGTGTTAGTTGACATGTATGTGCTTGCGTCAGTGTTAGTTTATATGAATGTGATTGTGTCAGTGTTAGTTGATATGAATGTGATTGTGTCAGTGTTAGTTGACAGGTATGAGCTTGTGTCAGTGTTAGTTGATATGAATGTGCTTGCGTCAGTGTTAATTGACAGATATGTGCTTGTGTCAGTGTTAGTTGACATGTATGTGCTTGCGTCAGTGTTAGTTGGCATGTATATGCTTGTGTCAGTGTTAGTTGACAGGTATGTAATTGTGTCAGTGTTAGTTGACAGGTATGTGATTGTGTCAGTGTAAGTTGACATTATGTCATTGTATCAGTGTTAGTTGACATGTATGTGATTGTGTCAGTGTTAGTTCATATGTGTGTAATTGTGTCAGTGTTAGTTGATTTGTATGTAATTGTGTCAGTGTTAGTTGATTTGTATGTAATTGTGTCAGTGTTAGTTGATATGTATGTAATTGTGTCAGTGTTAGTTGATTTGTATGTAATTGTGTCAGTGTTAGTTGATTTGTATGTAATTGTGTCAGTGTTAGTTGATTTGTATGTAATTGTGTCAGTGTTAGTTGATTTGTTTGTAATTGTGTCAGTGTTAGTTGATATGAATGTGATTGTGTCAGTGTTAGTTGATATGTATGTAATTGTGTCAGTGTTAGTTGATTTGTATGTAATTGTGTCAGTGTTAGTTGATTTGTATGTAATTGTGTCAGTGTTAGTTGATTTGTATGTAATTGTGTCAGTGTTAGTTGATTTGTTTGTAATTGTGTCAGTGTTAGTTGATATGTATGTAATTGTGTCAGTGTTAGTTGATTTGTATGTAATTGTGTCAGTGTTAGTTGATTTGTATGTAATTGTGTCAGTGTTAGTTGATATGTATGTAATTGTGTCAGTGTTAGTTGATATGTATGTAATTGTGTCAGTGTTAGTTGATTTGTATGTAATTGTGTCAGTGTTAGTTGATTTGTTTGTAATTGTGTCAGTGTTAGTTGACATGTATGTAATTGTGTCAGTGTTAGTTGATATGTATGTGATTGTGTCAGTGTTAGTTGATATGTATGTAATTGTGTCAATTTTAGTTGACATGTATGTGATTGTGTCAGTGTTAGTTGGCATGTACGTTCTTGTGTCCGTGTTAGTTGACAGGTATGTAATTGTGTCAGTGTTAGTTGGCATGTACGTTCTTGTGTCCGTGTTAGTTGACAGGTATGTAATTGTGTCAGTGTTAGTTGGCATGTACGTTCTTGTGTCCGTGTTAGTTGACAGGTATGTGATTGTGTCAGTGTTAGTTGGCATGTACGTTCTTGTGTCCGTGTTAGTTGAAAGGTATGTAATTGTGTCAGTGTTAGTTGACATGCATGTAATTGTGTCGGTGTTAGTTAACATGCATGTGATTGTGTCAGTGTTAGTTGGCATGTATGTTCTTGTGTCAGAGTAAGTTGGCATGTATTTGTCTGTGTCGGTGTTGATGGACAGATGTATTTCTTGTGTCAGTGTTAGTTTGCAAACCTGTGCTTGTGTCAGTGATAGATGTCAGGCATGTGCTTGTGTTAATAAAAAGTCTATGACTGGGTCGTTTGGCAGGTATGTGCTTGTGTCAGTTGGTAGGTATGTGTTTGTGTCAGTTGGCAGTATGTGCTTGTGTCAGTTGGCATTATATGTTTTTGTGTCAGTTGGCAGTATGTGATTGTATCAGTTGGCAGTATGTGCTTGTGTCAGTTGGCATTATATGTATTTGTGTCAGTTGGCAGTATGTGCTTGTGTCAGTTGGCATTATATGTTTTTGTGTCAGTTGGAGGTATGTGCTTGTGTCAGTTGGCAGTATGTGCTTGTGTCAGTTGGCAGCTTGTGGTTGTGTCAGTTGGCAGTATGTGCTTGTGTCAGTTGGCATTATATGTATTTGTGTCAGTTGGCAGTATGTGCTTGTGTCAGTTGGCATTATATGTATTTTTCCTCCGAAGTCGGAGTACATCTGCCGGAGAGGCGGGGAACGAGAACTGCAAACAAATAAGCCAGTAAAACGGATGTACACGCAAAACTCAGGTCAAGGTAAAAGCCAAAAGTCCATTTTGGACGAACAACCGCGACTTACCGCCGGAATTCACAGCCGGTGAACAAGAAGAAGAAGAAGAAGAATATGTATTTGTGTCAGTTGGCAGTATGTGCTTGCGTCAGTTGGCATTATATGTTTTTGTGTCAGTTGGCAGTATGTGCTTGTGTCAGTTGGCAGTATGTGCTTGTGTCAGTTGGCATTATATGTATTTGTGTCAGTTGGCAGTATGTGCTTGTGTCAGTTGGCATTATATGTTTTTGTGTCAGTTGGCAGTATGTGCTTGTGTCAGTTAGCAGTATGCGCTTGTGTCAGTTGGCATTATATGCATTTGTGTCAGTTGGCAGTATGTGCTTGTGTCAGTTGGCAGTATGTGCTTGTGTCAGTTGGCATTATATGTATTTGTGTCAGTTGGCAGTATGTGCTTGTGTCAGTTGGCATTATATGTTTTTGTGTCAGTTGGCAGTATGTGCTTGTGTCAGTTGGCAGCTTGTGCTTGTGTCAGTTGGCAGTATGTGCTTGTGTCAGTTGGCAGCATGTGCTAGTGTCAGTTGGCAGTGTGTGCTTGTGTCAGTAAGCAGTATGTGCTTGTGTAAGCTGGCAGGTCGGTGCCTACGTCAGTTCTTCAGTGTGTCTAATATATGTCTACAGGAGGTGATAGGGCGTTTTTTTAAATAATGAATCTTCCGCCGCCTATCCAGAAGAGTACATATAAACTAAAAAATGACAGGATAAAAAGTGCTGTTAGCTCCTCTCAGGCAGCTAGCATAAAGAAAGCAGCTGAAATAGAATTTAGATTAGCAGAGAAGACAGTCAGTTGATGATAGCCAGGATATTAATGTGTTCGTAGATGGAACCTGGATGACCCGAGGACATTCCTCAACAATAGAGGTAGCTACGCTCATTGGCTGTGTCACAGGAAAGGTTATCGATACAAGTGCACTCTCAAAAACAGTGCAAATCTTGTGACTACTAACTAGAACACTCAAGACAAGGATTCAGAAGCTTATGAATTGTGGCAACAAAATCACCAATCACAGTGAATATCTACTCATAATGGTTCATCCTGAGGTATGGAAGCAAAATTTACCAAAGAATTATTTTCCACATCATTTGAAAGACATAAGCTGAGATACACACGCTTCATTGGACATGATGACACAAACAGCTTCAAAAAAATTTATGATTTAACACCTTACATTGACACGCCTGTTGTGTAGGTAGAATGTGTCAGGCAGTTGCAAATAAGAATGAGAACCTGACTACGCAAGATCGGGAATTTTTGGAGGAAGGAAAGATACTGTCAGATAGGAAGAATTTTGATGGAAAGGTAAAGTTTTACGGACACACACATTGACTCTATTCAGAACTTTTATGGGAACGCAATTAGAGTTAAAAAGAGTGACTTGAAAGGAATGCGAGAGGCTGTTTGGGCGATATATTTTCACAAACTCTCCACGGATCAAAAGCCTGTTCAAAATTTCTGCAAAGTTAGTTGGTGCCTATATAAAATAGCTGTTGCTACCAACACAGAAAAGGATGATAAACATAACAGTTCCTTGCCTGCATCAGTTATGTAGGTCATCAGGCCAGTTTTCAGAGATCTCTCGAACCCCGACCTGTTGAGAAAATGTCTAGATGGCTACACCCAGAACTCCAAAGAATAAATCAACAGCACAGTTTGGCGACATTGCTCCAAACACAAGTACCGTGGATTAATAGCTGTTTAGATTGCAGTTGGCATTGCGGTACTCATTTTCAATGATGGAGCAAAAGCCCTATAAGCACCCCTTGTGGCAATGCAACTAGTATGTGGACGTTTCACCTCATAATTTTTTATCTCTACTGACACGTTAAAAATTATAGCAGAGGGCATGGTACCAGGAAGGAGGGGCAGGGTCCGACCGACACGAAGATAGGTACAGGATATAAGTGACTCATTTAGTGTGAAAGTGCATGAGGCAGGAGAGCTGGCGAGAGACCGAGTTTCTTTCAGGCAGACTGTGATGAGAGCGACGTTCTGCAAAGGACCTGCTACATGATGATGAGGACTGACACGTTTCGGCTAAAAAAAACTCTCAGAAAAAAGCAACAAAAGCATTACTGGAAGGGATAAATGCAAGATGGAGGAAGCGACTAGGATTAGAGGAGGTACAAGCTCAATCCGAAGGCTTTCCTTATTTGACAAAGAGTCACTGAGGTAAAAATCTATAATATTTTTTAACAACAAATTATCGTCGTTTGCTGTTAAATGTAACATTTATTTTTCTTATCCTATTATAACTTTCTCAAATATTAACCAATCTGTATAAAATGCTGCATGCTTGCTCGCATTATGACTGGCTGTAGCTTACTCTAAGGAAATATCATGATTGTGTTCATTTGTATGTAATTTCAAAATTGTACTTGTCCACACACAAAAGGCAAATTTCAGGTAGCTTTACATAACATTTATTAAATGTGTACTATTTTCCATAAAAATAATTACACTCACACCATTTTTGTATGTGCAGTATAATTTTGAAGGAATTTGGCTGTACAATTTGCCTGCAAATACTTCCAAAGTAACATCTATATTTTGATATTTTAAAATTAATTTTTTACTTTAAAAACTTATTTTCTTATATGTATATATTGAATTCTCGAGAAGTTTGTTTTATATGATAGCCTAATCACATGGTCATCATTTCTGGCAATTTTAGAGTCCTATCTTTAAATTTAAATTTTTTAATGATTTTTTCCCAACGCCACTGATTCCCTGCTAGTACCCCCCCCCCCCTCCTTAAATGTATGTCTAATGTGTGAGTATGTGTGTGTAGCAGTATGTCTTTTATGTATGTGCTTGTCAGTATGTATAATATAGATGTATTCGTCAGCATATCTAATATATGTATACCAGTAGTCTATGGAGATCCAAAAGTCATGAATATGCTGTTGAACTATATACAGTAGTTTTAAAGTGTATTTTTGTGTGTTTTAGATAAATCAATCCACTGTAAAGTCTGACGAGCTACTAAATCTGCTAGTTGCCATTTCAAGCCAAAGAAACTAAAGTGTTTTGTTGTAAACATTTCCTGATGTCCATTCCAAGCTAAGCTGGCACAGAAACCAAACTTTATTATGAACATTACGACATTTTTTTTACATCACATTTTTCCAACACCCCTGCCCCCCCCCCCCCCCCCCCCCCATTTGATTCTGGGATATACAAGTGATTATATATATTTATTAGTATATGTGTGCATGTGTCTTTGTGTGCATGTGTGTGTGTCTGTGTAAATATATTTGTGATGACATCAGTGCAGTTGTTCATGTTTACATATAAGCCTGTTGTAACAACCCTATTAAGTACAGTCAGTGTACCACACCGTAAGGTCGGCGTGTTGAGGTGACACCCCAGGGTTGACACAAAGGTCAGGGCCGTGACTGGTCAAGTCCGTTCTGTGATCGCACGGCGAAACCAGCGCTCAGGATAAAGCAAGAAAGACTGAACTGTGTTGTGGACAAATCCGCAAGACGATGACTGCTTTTGGGACTGAGCTGGTGAACGTGGTCAAGGGACACGAGGTAGAGAGGACAGGACATTCGGTGTGCGTCGGTCAGGAAGAGAGGACGTTTAGCAAGACAGTTATAGTATTAAAGTTAGGATATATTTCTGTTAGTGACTGGATAGTTTATGTACAGTTTTGTGTTAGGATAGGATAGTTCTTGTGTAGAGTATTCATGTATATGTGCTGTGAGAGAGTGGCTAACCTTGACACTCTGACCCTGCACTAAGACAGAGACTGTGACAGTTTGATTGGGTCAGTGTTGCGATAGAAAAGAACGTATCTCGCCGGGCTGTGGTTTGTACACCAGGAGGTTGCCTGTAGCACGTACTGGGGGACGAGGCGATTGTAAAGCCCGTTCAGCCAGAGGGTCCAGGCAATAGGTGGCCACACAGCGGGAAGTCAACTGTCTATGTATTACCTGTACTTCCAATAAAGATTGTCGTGTGTGCTCTGTGTGCGTTCGGGTTCAGTGTGTGTTAAAGGTTGGTCCGTCTGTCATAGGCCCATTTACGAGCCACGGACCAGCAAGGTCATACCAGAGGTCTGTGACACCTGTGTATTTGTGTGTGTGTATGTGTGTGTGTATATATATATATATATATATATATATATATATATATATATATATATATATATATATATATATATATATATATAGTTTTTCTTGTGAACGTTGTCCAAATACTGCCATTCTTCAGTGGCCCTGTAAGACACTGAGGCCTTTAGAAAACAGACTTTCTAGCTGCATGCTGAATTCACGAACAGGTACCGTTTGAAACATTGCTCTGTTGAACCAGGTGACAATCGAGTTAACGAACAGCCAGGACTAGGTTCTATCCATCTGCTCTTCCATCTTCACCACAATCACATAGTTCGACTTCTTGTTGATGGCATCCTCCAGAAGAGAGGACAACCTTCTTCGCCTCAAGAAATTCGGAAGTTTGTGAAAGAATCCCCTGACAACATGAAGGAAACAGTCTTTCAGGTATGCAAGATAGCAGTGGCTCTCATATCAAGTATTTTCACGTCCATTTGTCTGTCTTCTGTCGATGTCTCCGTAATGTCGTTATCTGCTATGTCTTCATATCTACAGCCTAGTTTTGTTTGCTATTATGTTTATCTTCTCTTCTTCTCTCTTACCCTGGCTATGTCTGATACTTTGTTAATCTTCTCTCTTTCTTCACCCTGACTATGTTTATTACTATGTTTATCGTCTCTCTTTCATTACCTTGGCTATGCTTGAAACTATGTTTTATCTTCTCTCTTTCTTGACCCTGGCTATGTTTGAAACTATGTTAATAGTCTCTTTTTGTTTACCTTAGCTAATTTGGAAATTATGTTTTATCTTCTCTCTTTCCTTACCCTGGCTGTTTGATACCTTGTTTATTTCTCTGCCTCTCCCTCTCTCGCTCTCTCCCTCTCTCTCTCTCTCTCTCTCTCTCTCTGTCCTAGCTATGTTTGATACTGTCACATACTGCTAGTGTCATGTACCTTGTAAAGGGTTTCTCTTTATAAACCAAATATCACTTTGAAGTAGATATGTTGTCTCGCAATAGTCAAGGCGGAACCCCAAGCTCCAATAAACATCCAACATACTCCAGGGATGAGGCGGCGAGAATGACGACACTACAGAACATAAAATATTGCTAGGCGCAGCTTGGCCTGACTTCCTCACTTCTTCAATTAGGCCCCCAGACTAGATAGTCTCCTATCCTAGTCAATATAATGACATTACACACACTCCAGACAACTAGGAACAGTGAAAGACGGACACTAAACCAAAAATGTAAAATTCACGAAACATACTGTAATCAGTTTAACCATTACAAGTTTGAGGCAAAAAAGAATTCATTAAAATCAATGACACTGAGGAGACAAAAACAATTCATATAGAACAAGGGTTGCTCCCAGTAGCAGCCAATGTCATCATAGTTATGCGGTAGAACCATGGCACAGTGGACTAGGCAGTTCGGGTTAAGAGTGACCATAACCACTGGAATATCACTCATCTGTAATAAGGTCCGGTCCAATGTATCACCTCCTTTCTATATATCTGGGATCGCTGGTACAAAGGCACTGAAAGGTTCTGCTCCTCAGCATATCAGACACTGCACTATTGAATACATTAGGCTGTGAACAGAAGTCTTACTCTGGCCATGACACACAAATGTTTAAAATATAAAATTAGTCACTTCTCAAGATGAATGCAGACACGAACGGCAGGCACCCTCTGGCTTCACCATACAGCTCCCTGGGGATGGGTCTCTCCCAGTGGAAACGTTGGTCACTACCTGGGTGTAGGAACAGACATGTCGGCAGGCAACCTCTGGCTTCACCATACAGCTCCCTGGGGATTGGTCTCTCGCAATGGAAATGTTGGTCACTACCTGGGTGTAGGAACAGACATGTCGGCAGGCACCCTCTGGCTTCACCATACAGCTCCCGGGGGATTGGTCTCTCCCAGTGGTAACGTTGGTCACTACCCGGGTGTAGGAACAGACCTGTCGGCAGGCCCCATGGTGGTATCTTCTTTCTGCTGGTGGTAAGAAATACTAGTTATTTGAATATGTGGTGATTGTCAATTTGGCCACCAGTGAACTAACAATCCCAAGCTCTGGCTTCTTGTAAAAAACATAAATTATCCTAGATCCTAACCATAATTTAGCACAAAGGCACACAGCGTTTGCTGTCGCTGGAAGCCAGCCTGAAAATAGTCCTAACTCAAGCGACTCTCTCGAAGAAGGCGGAGAAGATTCACGCTCCCCAGGCGGTAATGTGCCCATATTAATTTTGGCAATAATTAATAATGAATCTCTCACCTACGATTAAAGAATCAAAACTATAACGTTCCCAAGAGAATAAGGACACATAGGAGTACTCAACTGGACACAAAAACCTATATTTACAACAAAAAATAGACTGTATAGAGGCAGGTCGATTTTTCAAACATCCCCATCTGCATAGAGGTGACAGGATCTAGACTGGTCTAAGACGAAAGGGGTGTAGGCTGTTATGTCAGATAACAACAAATAAATACCCAATAATTACCCTAAGTGGCATTATTTCAGCCGAATATCAAGCGAGTCGGTGTCCAGTAGCTAGCTATCGAGAATCAGGCAATGGATAGTTAGCGGGCGACGTGGCGAGGCGGGCTGCTTACTTGGGCGTTCAGCGAGCGAGTGTGTTGATGTTCATTTGAAGGAAGCAGTTCCTTGAATCAGAGCTTTTATTACCTTCCACGACTCACGTGACTTGCTGGACACTACTGAAGAGCTCCACCAAACCACCTCGCCAAACCAAAGTAATAAACAGGCAAAAAATCTACTTTCTGTCACGGGCCTGTCACATTTACCCTGGCTATGTTTAATACTATGTGTTATCTTCTCTCAAGAAAATACACCCCAGCCAGCCCTAACATAAACCAACACACAAGATGATACACCCCAGCCAGCCCTAACATAAACCAACACACAAGATGATACACCCCAGACAGCCCTAACATAAACTAACACACAAGATAATACACCCCAGCCAGCCATACACCAGCCAGCCCTAACATAAATCAACACACAAGATGATACACACCAGCCAGCCTTAACATAAACCAACACACAAGATGATACACACCAGCCAACCCTAACATAAACCAACACCCAAGATGATACACACTAGACAGCCCTAACATAAACTAACACACAAGATGATACACACCAGCCAGCCCTAACATAAACCAACACACAAGATGATACACACCAGCCAACCCTAACATAAACCAACACACAAGATGATACACACCAGACAGCCCTAACATAAACTAACACACAAGATGATACACACCAGCCAGCCCTAACATAAACCAACACACAAGATGATACACACCAGCCAACCCTAACATAAACCAACACACAAGATGATACACACCAGACAGCCCTAACATAAACTAACACACAAGATGATACACACCAGCCAGCCCTAACATAAACCAACACACAAGATGATACACACCAACCAGCCCTAACACTAACCAGTACACAAGATGATACACACCAACCAGCCCTAACACTAACCAGTAAACAAGATGATACACACCAACCAGCCCTAACACTAACCAGTACACAAGATGATACACACCTGCCAGCCCTAACACTAACGAGTACACAAGATGATACACACCTGCCAGCCCTAACACTAACCAGTATACAAGATGATACACACCAACCAGCCCTAACACTAACCAGTACACAAGATGATACACACCTGCCAGCCCTAACACTAACGAGTACACAAGATGATACACACCTGCCAGCCCTAACACTAACGAGTACACAAGATGATACACACCTGCCAGCCCTAACACTAACCAGTACACAAGATGATACACACCTGCCAACCCTAACACTAAACAGTACACAAGTTTATACACAGCGGCGATCCCTAACATTAACTAACGCACTAATGTGTCGGGTTTTAATCTTAGGAGGCCAGAAAAATTCTCGGTGGAATTATTCAGAAAATCACCTACTGTGACTGGCTGCCAATGATTCTAGGACCTTACCTCATCGAGAAGTTTCAGCTGGGCTGCAGCAGACGCAGTCGGTATAATCCAGATGTTGACCCTAGAGTAGCAAACAGTTTCCTGGCAGGTCAGTATCTCGATGCGACATATGCAAGACAAAACTAGTTACTCACCTGCAAATGCATGTATGTACAGGTAATGAGGCATATGAGATCTCACTAACCAGAGATTAACCTTGGATTGCAAGAAGTCCAAATCCACGTGCCCAAACCCTAACCCTTACCAGGGATTAAACACGGAACCTCTAGCACTCGAGGAGGACACCTTGCTTCGAGACAACGCAGTTCCCCTATATGGAAACTTCAGTGGTCGGTTAGTCCATCGGTGGTACCGGAATCGTGCGCAGCGATGTAGTTTGTCACTATTCCTGGACTTTTGCACTTTCTTAGAAAATGACTGATATTGTCTCCCCTTGCTGGGGTATGTAAATTTTGGACTTTCACAGGTTTCAGAAGTCAGCCAGTCTTCTTGTACCTTTAGAAAGGACTTTACCATAGGTGAAGGTTAGCCAGCTAATTTTCTGGTATGTTCAGAATGGATGTTTCTATAGCTGAGGGTCAGCCAATTAATCTGATTGCATTTTTATAATGAAGGGTTCTCTAGCTGAGGGTCAGTTAGCTCATCTACTAGCATATTCAGAATGGACTGACCTATAGGAGAAGGTCAGTCAGTTAGTCTTCTTGCATTTTCAGAATGAACGGTTCGATATTTGAGGATCAGCCAGTTAGTATTTTGCATGTTCAAAATGGACGGTTCCGTTGTTAAGAGTCAGCCAGTTAGTCTTGTGTGTCCAGAATGGAAGGTTCTATATGTTTGTTTGTTTGTTTGTTTATACAACGCATCAACATCATGACACAAGAGGGATAACCTGTAAGTGCTCCGTTCTGCTTCTGACTGAAGCATGAGTCCGAAGAATCCCAGCGCAGTGCACGAACTACGTAGCACCGGTGAGGATCCTGAAATACTTGGTTAGATTTTTACCACCAAATTTAGCCCGGGCAACGCCGCTAGGCTACTCTTCTCGATTTCCAACTGCCAAGGTATTTTTTACTTGCACAACAATGCACACGGGCGTCCGATCTCACTAACCAGAGACCAGGGGGAATTACTAGAAGTCCAAGTTCACGTGTAAAAATCCCAGCACTTACCAGGGATTAAACATTGTTTACGTGCACAAAAATACACACGGGCGTCTGATCTTACCACCCAGAGACTAGGGAATATTACTACAAGTCCGCTGTATCTTTTTTGAGGATTAGCCTGTCAGTCTTCTTGTATGTTCAGTATGAACTGCTCCAAGGCTAAAAGTCAGCCCGTAACTCTTCTACTGTGTTCAGAGTGGACTGTCGGATAGATTCTTCTTCTTCTTCGTTCACCGGCTGTGAATTCCGGCGGAAGGTCGAGGTTATTAGTCCGCTTGAACTTTTGGCATTTACCTGGACCTGAGTGTTGCGAGTACAACCGTTTTACTGGCTTTTGCCGTTCCCTGCCTCATGGGCAGCTGTACTCCGACTTCGAGGAGAGACGTCAGTCCTATTTCTAGGATGACTGTGGCCATTGTTTTGTGTGGGTCGAGATGTTAGCTTATTTGTGTGGTGCCCTCTTTGTCCATTTCTCCACAGGTGTTGCCCCCGGAGTACTCCCTTTGGGACAGCCCTGTGTGGAACGGTTGGCCCTCAAGGGAAGGCAGGGGTAGATTATGGACATTCCTTGCCATCCAAGGAGGCTTCCATAATAGCAGAGCCGATACATAATGCTCTGGTTCTGGGCTCAAACAAGGAATCACATCCTGCACATAACTGCTTAACCTCACAACCATGTATTGAGCTTTTCGCTCAACACATGCTGCGTCCTCCGGGGATCAGCGGGGAGCAGCCCGTGGGTTCTGGACTTTGTGAACACACAAATAGGTACATTCTTCTTCGTTGCACGTTAGACACCTTTAACGTTGTTTCAACTGTGCCCTTAGCATGACAGTGCAGGGAAGCATGCGTCAGGCGTGGCTTCAACTGTTTGGTCCCAGCACTCGCGCGAGTGGGGCCAGTGTATACGGACATTTGGACTTTTTTTCCAGTCGGTACGAATTGTGATGGTCGGACTTTGGGCTTGCTTGTTTGCCGTAGGATCTGACTTTGTTGGACATTATTGACTAGCCAGCAGATGAAAAGTTGCTGTCATTGTGTACCTCAGCGCGGTGACGACGACACTGAGAATTGACAGAGGGTGTACGTAGGTAGGATCTGACTGCGAGAAACCACCCACAAGAGATGTTACTCGTCTTGGATGCGGGTAAATCTCTTGGTCAAGGGTTGAGTCTCAGCAGCACAGTTTTCCGTTCGCTCCAGACTTTTAACCGAGAGTTGTCATTTGGTGGGAAATTTGCCAAGCAGACTTTACTCATGTACCGAATGAGTTTTGATAGACTTTTCACCCATGCGTTTAGGGGAAGGCTGGGGAGGGCCAGAAAGGACACTACACCTCTGGGGGCCGCCAGCTCCGAGATCCCCTGCCAACTCTGTTAATACTCATTTGAGACATTATCCGTGGCGCACGACGGGGACGTGCAGCAGGAGTCTTGCATGAGGTTCCTTAAAACCAGAACAGTGAAGGACTGGCGCCCTAGTGAGGTACGGAGTATCTACACATCACATCAGACTTAACTTTCCCTCACGCATGTGACCTAAATCACCGCGCCACTGTCAGATAGATGAAGGTCAGTCAGTTGGTCTTCTTATATGTTCAGTATGGACGGCTCCATAGTTGAGAGTCTGTCAGTTATTCATCTAGTATGTTGAGAATAGACTGTCCGATAGGTGAAGGTTAGTTAGTTAGTTGGTTAGTCTTCTTCCGTGTTCAGAATCTACTGTCTACTTCTTCTGTGTTGGGTATTTAGCAAATATCTACATCTCCTGTGTTGTGTGTTCACCAACTGTCTACGTCTCCCGTGTTGTGTGTTCACTGGCTGTCGAGTTCTCTTACGTTGTGTGTTCACCAGCTATGTGCTTCTACCGTGGCGTGTGTTGACAAACTGTCGTTCTCACATGTTGTGTGCTCAGCAACGGTTTTCTTTTTTTTTTTAATTTGTGGATGTGTGTCTGTGTATGTGTGTGTGTGCGCGCATGCGTGTGTACGTTTCAGTGTGTGTATGTATATGTGAGTGTGTGTGTGTGTCTGCATACATAGATACTCCCAGTAGTAAGAGGAAGAAAGAGACTCAGTGTTCTCCTGTGCTGTGAACATACGTACGAATGTATGTACATATGTCTGTCTGTCTGTCTGTCTGTCGTCTGTCTGTCTGTCTGTCTGTCTGTCTGTCTGTCTGTCTGTCTGTCTGTGTAGTTAGTTAGGTAGGTAGAGAGTTAGGTATGGATGGATGGATGGATGTATCTATCTATGTATTTATCTCTGTATGTATCTATGTATGATTCTATGTATGTATCTATGTATGTATCTATGTATGTATCTATGTATGTATCTACGTATGTATCTGTGTATGTTTATATGTGTGAATGTATGTATCTATGTATGTATGTATCTATGTATGTATGTATCTATGTATGTATGTATCTATGTATGTTTATATGTGTGAATGTCTGTATCTATGTATGTATGTATCTATGTATGTATGAATCTATGTATGTATCTATGTATGTATGTATCTATGTATGTTTATATGTGTGAATGTATGTATCTATGTATGTATGTATGTTTATATGTGTGAATGTATGTACCTATGTAAGTATGTAGGTATGTTTATATGTGTGAATGTATGCATGTATGTGGGTGTGTATATGTATATGCGTGTGTATATGTATATGCGTGTGTATGAATGTAGGCATGTAAGTAAGTGGTTCAGTCGTTGTCTGGGCGTATGTACGTAGGTGGGTGTGTTCGCGCTCGAGTGTTGCCCATGCATCTTACTACCCTTGCTTTGTGATTTTTCTTTGTATACATAATATTCATATTATTGTATACTCTTTGTGTGTGTGTGTGTGTGTGTGTGTGTGTGTGTGTGTGTGTATGTGTGTGTGTGTGTGTGTGTGAAATACAATTGATGTGTGAAAGATGGGTGTTTGGAAGGGCCAAATGTAATTCGGGCATGCATGCCCAGTTGGTGACCCTATAAAAAGTTTGTTCGTTCCTTCATTCGTTGGTTTATTTGTGTTGTGTGCTCACCAACTGTCTTGTTTTCCTATGTCATGTGTTCAGCAGCTTTCTACTTCACCAACTGTATATTTCTTTGCTGTTACGGTTTCACCAACTATCCACTTCTCCTCTATTGCGCGTTAACCATCTGTCAAGTTCGCCTGTGTTGTACTTTCATTAACTAATTACTTCTCATGTGTCGTGTATTCACCAACTGCCTACTTCTCCTGTGCTGTGTATTCACCGACTGTTGAGTTCTCCCATGTTGTGACTTTACCAGTTGTCGAATTCTGATGTCTTGTGTGCTCAGCAGCTGCCTTCTTCTTCTGTGTTTTGTGTCCACTAACTGTTGTGCGTTAACTAAATGACATATTCTGCTGATTTGTGCGTTTTGCAACTGTCGAGTTCTTCTATGTTGTGCGTTCACCAACCGTAGAGTTTTTCTGTGTTGAGCGTTCACCAACTGTCGGGTTCTTCTATGTTGTGCATTCACCAGTTGTCGAATTCTGCTGTGACTGGCGTTCACTAATTGTCGAATGCTTCTGTGTTGTGCTCTCACCATCTATTGAGTTCTTCTGTGTTGTGTTCATCAATTGTCAAATTATGCTGTGTTGTGCTTTCGCCAAGTGTCTAGTTCTTCTACGTTGTGCGTTCACCAATTGTCGATATCTTTTGTGTTGTGCGTTCACCAGCTGGTAAGTTGTTCTGTGTTGTGCGTTCACCAGTTGTCAAATTCTGATGTGTTTTGAGTTCACCAATTGTCGAATTCCGCTGTGTTGTGTGTTATCCAGTTGTCTAATTTTGCTGTGAGATGCGTTAACCACTTGTCGAATTCTGCTGTGTTGTGCGTTCACTAATTGTCGAATTCTCATGTGTTGTGCGTTCACCAACTGTCGAATTCTGCTGTTTGTGCTTTCAATATCCTTAGAGTTTTATGTTGTGCGTTAACCAGTTGTCGAATTCTGCTGTGTTGTGCATTCTGCAACTGGCGAGTTCTGCTGTGTTTTTGGTTGCAGCTGCTCTACGGTTTGGGCATACTCTCATTCCCAACGTCTACAATTTTGGGGACAAGAAAATCCATCTTAAGGACTCTTTCAACATCCCAGATGCCAGTATCCGTTACTTTGACAACATCATCCAGTGCCTAATTAAAGAGGGAAGCGACGAAGCATATGACAGGTTGGTGTCTGAAACAGTCTAAAGCATATGACAGGTTGATGTCTGAAACAGTCTAAAGCTTATGACAGGTTGATGTTTGAGACAGTCTAAAGCATATGACAGGTTGGTGTCTGAAACAGTCTAAAGCATATGACAGGTTGATGTCTGAAACAGTCTAAAGCATATGACAGGTTGGTGTCTGAAACAGTCTAAAGCATATGACAGGTTGGTGTCTGAAACAGTCTAAAGCATATGACAGGTTGATGTCTGAAACAGTCTAAAGCATATGACAGGTTGGTGTCTGAAACAGTCTAAAGCATATGACATGTTGGTGTCTGAAACAGTCTAAAGCATATGACAGGTAGATGTCTGAAACAGTCTAAAGCATATGACATGTTGATGTCTGAAACAGTCTAAAGCATATGACATGTTGATGTTTGAGACAGCCTACGTTTTTTGACAAGATGGTGTTTGAGATTGTCTAAAGCATATGACAGGTTGGTGTCTGCGACAGTCTAACGTATATGACAGGGTGGTGTCTGCGACAGTCTAACGTATATGACAGGGTGGTGTCTGCGACAGTCTAACGTATTTGACAGGGTGGTGGCTGCGACAGTCTAACGTATATGACAGGGTGGTGTCTGCGACAGTCTAACGTATATGACAGGGTGGTGTCTGCGACAGTCTAACGTATTTGACAGGGTGGTGTCTGCGACAGTCTAACGTATATGACAGGGTGGTGTCTGCGACAGTCTAACGTATTTGACAGGGTGGTGTCTGCGACAGTCTAACGTATATGACAGGGTGGTGTCTGCGACAGTCTAACGTATATGACAGGGTGGTGTCTGCGACAGTCTAACGTATATGACAGGGTGGTGTCTGCGACAGTCTAACGTATATGACAGGGTGGTGTCTGCGACAGTCTAACGTATTTGACAGGGTGGTGTCTGCGACAGTCTAACGTATATGACAGGGTGGTGTCTGCGACAGTCTAACGTATATGACAGGGTGGTGTCTGCGACAGTCTAAAGCATATGACAGGGTGGTGTCTGCGACAGTCTAACGTATATGACAGGGTGGCGTCTGCGACAGTCTAACGTATATGACAGGGTGGTGTCTGCGACAGTCTAAAGTATATGACAGGGTGGTGTCTGCGACAGTCTAACGTATATGACAGGGTGGTGTCTGCGACAGTCTAACGTATATGACAGGGTGGTGTCTGCGACAGTCTAACGTATATGACAAGTTGGCTACTATGATAGTCTACGGCATGTGACAAGTTTGTATCTGTGACAGTATAAAGTAAATTACAGATTCATGTATGTGACAGTCTAAAACATGTGACAGGTTTGTGTCTGCGACAGTCTGGACAGTTGTATCTGTGACAGTCTAAAGTGTATGATAGGTTGATGTCTGTGACACTCTAGTGCATTTAATTAGTATTTGTGACAGTCTACGGCTTACGACAGGCTGGTATCTGTGATAATCTAAAGCATATGACATGTTGATGTCTGTGACAATCTACCGCATGTGACAGGTTGGTATCTGTGACAGTCTACTTTATATGTCAAGTTGGTGTCTCTGATAGTCTGAAGTATATGACATGTTGATGTGTGTTACAATCTACCACATGTGACAGGTTGGTATCTGTGATAGTCTACTTAATATGTCAGGTTGGTGTATCTGATAGTCTGAAGTATATGACATGTTGATGTGTGTTACAATCTATTACATGCGATAGGCTGGTATCTGTGAAAGTCTAAAACATAGGAGGGTGGGAGGAGGGAGGAGGGCAAGAGAACAGAGTGAGGTAGACATGGGAGGCAGAAGATAAGAAGGGGGAGGGAGAGAAAGAAGATGAAAAAAGAGAGCTAGAAGAGTTAAAAAGGGAAGGAAACTGTAGAAAAGAGGGCCAGATATTCATCCTCATCATCAATTCCCTTTATGCCTAGTGGCACTTGAGGTTTCAGAGAGGACTTTCCATGCTTTCCTGTCCTGTGCAATCTTCAGTGCAGTTTTTCATGTCAGAGATGCCGCACCCAGGTCTCTTTTCATCGTTCGTCTCTGTTTGGTTTTCCGGCACCCATTTTTTTTCTCTTTCTCTCTGGTATCCATGTGAGAGCTGTTTTGGCAGGTATATCAGGATTAATTCTCAGAACGTGGCCAAGCCATTTCCATCTTCTCTTAGTTATCATACTGTCTACAGTTTGTTGATTTGTGACTTGAAGTAGCTTAGTGTTTGAGATTTTGTATCTGGCCAGAAAATGTTGATAGTGGGCCAGATATTAGAAAGGTAAGAACGCTGATCGTCAAACCAACAATAGAACTAGGCAATCTAAGTGACGTCACTTTGCCTACCCCTTCTCCTATTGTGGACCTAGAAGCAGCTTCGCGTAAAGTGACTGCTGCCACCACGTCCGTGGACGTTATTGTATCAGCGGGCTTCAATAGTTTCATTCTGTATACAGCTCGCATTTTTTTTTTATCAACCCTTCTAATTTATACCATAAAGCGCGGCACACGATAATGAACAGTTCAACATCAACTCATATATAGTCGGTAATTATTTTTAAAATCGACCCATCCAAAAATTTCAGTTTACAGAATTCGACTTATTTGCTTTTATACAAAGGTGAATGGAGAGGAAGACAGCATAAACTGAAAGCCGGATAAGACATTAAAATAAAACATTACCAAAATATAACCAAAATGGACGGAGAATTCGCCCTGTTTAGCGTGTTCGTGGTTTTTGTAGTATTAGTTTCGAAAGTGGGAAATGGTAGGGACTAGGCTGCTCACGTCGACTGAAGCGAAATTTTTTTTAATCAAAGTTCGACTTCAGTGGACTCGACTATATCCGTGACGGTCTAAAGCATACTACATGCTGGTGGTCTGTGACAGTCTAAAGCATATTACATGCTGGTGGTCTGTGACAGTCTAACGCATATTACATGCTGGTGGTCTGTGACAGTCTAAAGTATCTTACATGCTGGTGGTCTCTGACAGAAAAGCTTCTTCCCGGCAATGACGTCATAGTCTTGGAGGAAACGCGTGTAGGTGACACGACCGTCAGAGCTGCCGATTTTCAGGAATTCTACAATCGATGGTATCTCGAAAATGTCATCATTGTTGATGACAGCTTGGTAGTGTCCGAGATTGACATATCCTAATGGAGCAGTGACGTCCTTCAGGTGTATGCAGTAAGAGAGTTGTCCTCAGACCCCGTTCACCATCGTAAGTGTAGCGCTAGTAACGGAAAGATTGACGTGCGGCAGTGGCAGTGTTTGTAAGCACCCGCGGAAAGAAACATCATTTATTGCGGGGACTTTAACTCCAGAGTTAACAAAAAAGGGTAATGTCATCACTTAAATACACCGAGAAGATCTGGAGAAGGCCCTGGTATCTGCTGAACTGGTATGTTTAAAAACGATGGACGTCATTAGATTACCCACTCCACTAGTCGAATCTAACAGTGTGATTGATTTGGTTGTAGTGTCACTTACCTTTGTAGAGTCTTAGTTGAGAAAAGAAAAAAAAATAAAGCAGTCAGAGAAAAAGAATAGCTACTTGCCAGATGAAAGCAGAGGATCAAGGGCATAGTTTAGAAATGTACATGCCGTCAAGGTAGAGTTAACGGCCAGGAAGAGTAGTTCGTCACAGTCTAAGTTCCTGTCTGACATGAAGGATAAAGGCAAAAAAGACCACTATTGCTTTCTACCTGAGCCCCACACATGTCAAGAAAAAGATATGGGAAGATTACTGTAAGAATATGTGCTCTGAAGGGTATTGCAACATTTTGGTGACTTTTTAGGGCAATGAAGTGCACCACACGACATCGGGGTATCCTAAACGCTCAAAACAACTGCACCACACGACATCGGGGTATCCTAAACTCTCAAAACAACTGCACCACGCGACATCGGGGTATCCTAAACGCTCAAAACAACTGCACCACACGACATCAGGTTATCCTAAACGCTCAAAACAACTGCACCACACGACATCAGGGAATCCTAAACGCTCAAAACAACTGCACCACACGACATAGGAGTATCCTTAACGCTCAAAACATAACCTGACATAATATACTTAACGCTCAAAACATAACCTGACATTATATATTGGTCCTAATGGGTTAATTATGCGCAAAAAAGACCTAATATCTTTTAGCCTTCCTTGCTTAAGCTTACCTCACCTTCACGTGGTGGACTCTGTACTTCTAAGCAATTCAGTGGAAGGTTGTTAGTTCAACCCCTATTAGGCAACTGGATAGAAAACAAACGAATTAAAGGAATGAGCCCATTCTCCCTCTCAAGAGATCCGGAAGTCAGAAATACTGTTTCAGAAGGCGAATCAAAACCCACAGTGCTTCGCAACTCCTGCTATATGATTTCCCTGTCAGACGAATTTAATGGTGCTCGCCCTGTTGAGTCCCACCAGGCAGGTGCAGTTCCGTATTCCGAGCTTCGACATAATCCAACCCCAGCTACTGGAGGAACTCTTAGACCATCTTGTGGATCCAGAGACGGTGGAGTATATTTACTGACCAAAACCAGTTAGACAAAAAAATGATCCCATATTGTATTTTGTCATAATACACTAGAATGCATATAGGGTCAGCAGTAAGCAGGCTGACTACAGCCAAAGGATATAAAAAGCATATAATTGTTTACTGTATCAAAGAGAGCAATTTTAAGCAGATCAGATCTTTAAAGTGAGAGGCTACAAGTGCTTCAGATCCGACAGATAAGGCAAGCGGAAAGGAGAAGTACTTACCCTTGGGAAAAACAGCTTCCAATAATATAAGAATATGTTTATTATGAATGGAGCTGAGAACAAATTCCTGCACGTTAAAAAAGACAAAATGGAATTAGACCGTCTGAAATAATACTGCCCCAGTAATAAACAGTCAAATCAGATACCAACTTTACTGCAGCTGGAGACTTCAACAGTAATTCACAGAGCTGGGGCTATAACCATCTTGACAACAGGATGAATAGGTTGAAACATTGCATGGAGGCCACT